TTGTTTCCCAAATATATTTGAAATTTCCATCTAATGTTTTCAATAGTCCCTAATATAAAGATAGGTTTCTTGTTGAGCCTCAGTAAGTGCCGTCTTTATTTTATTTATTTATTTATTTATTTATTTATATTCTGAGTTAGGGTCTCACTCTGTTGCCCAGGCTGGCGTATGGTGTCATGATCACGGCTCACCACAGCCTCCAACCCTAGCCTCAGTTAATCCTCCTGACTTAGATTCCCAAGTAGCTGGGACTACAGGAACACACCACTATGTGCAGCTAATTTTTTTTGTTTTTTGTAGAGACAAGGTCTGACTCTGTGGCCCAGGCTGGTCTTGAACTTTTGGGCTCACGAGATACTCCCACCTCTGCCTCCCAAAGTGCTTGGATTACAGCTGCAAACCACTGTGCCCAGACAATAAATGCCTTTTTTAGACAGCTTAATAACAACAAACGAAACTTATAAGTAGTTAAATATTAAAGCAGGAAACAAAGATGCTTTAAGCCTTTTGTCAGGCCCTCTGACTTCTAAACCATCTAATTTTTCGGGAAACAAACTTCTCTACAATTCCTCATTACTCTGATGGCTCTTTCAGTTCATTCAAAAAGTTGTTGGTTCAATTTTTCTCTCTTTTCCCTTATATGAGAGATTCTTGGCTCTTAACTCTTCTCTGAAGGTTTCACATCCCCACATGAGGGCACCCACTTTGGATGGTTTTAAAATCTGTTCTTTTGCTGTCTCCTCCCAAAAGTTCAACTCTAACCTTTTACTCCAGTTCCACATTTCAAATAATAGCATCATTTGATTATCTTTGGTTGCTTCACATGTAACAGGAGCAAAAATAAATTATTTACCTATCATTCTAAATTTCTTTTCTGGATTTCAAGACTCTCTGCACCGTTGCCTCATTGTACTTACCATTTGAAATTATTTCTCTGCCTCTGGTTCTCATGTTTTATCCTACAGTCCATTGTTAGCTTAATCCTTCCACAAGTCTAATTTTAATATGGTTTACTCTCTTGATATAAAAGTGTTTATATAGTCACAGGACAATGTATTAATACCTTAATGTAACACTCAAGGTCCCTGACAAGGAAGTTCCAAGATGCCTTTCAAGCTTATTGTTTTGTTCATATGTATTATATTCACTTCTCAAATGGGTTAACCTCCTCACCACCATGTAATATGCCCCACTTAATTCTCAGTTAATCTGATTCCTTTTTTTGGAATGCCTTTCCTTTCAGCTTAACCAAATTTTACATGTACCTTTAGGTCTAAGTAAAGTTATAAATTCTCCACAGAATTTTTCTTACATCAGATTATATTAACATCCATAAACTTCTACTATCTTTTCATTCTGTCATACCACTTAGCATTCATTAGTGTCCAAGTGATTTCATGTCAATTTTCCTTGACTAGGTTATGCTGTGTACTCAGCCTATTCCTTATACTTCCTCAGTGACTCCCATACTTCTTTCAATAGTGCACCGTCAATAAATACTTTGTGATGGGTTTTGTATAAATAACATGCCATTATTAACAGTTGTCACTTAAAAATCATGGTTTGTCTATTATTGTTTTATAAGGAAATAAAATTGATTTTCACACAATTTGACGAAAAGAAAGATCAGGTTCTACAATTAAGGAAGATGTAGTCAAATGAATTCCATCAGGTCACAATTTATCTATGACAGGCTTGGAAAATAATCTGTACTCTTACATAACCTGTCAAATAATTCTTTACAGGAATTTTTAAAGGGAACTATCTTTCTTTGGCATTTTAAGATTGTGCCTAAAAATACAGAATTGGTATGGACAGAAATCATGGTACAGGTGACTATATTATGTTTTTATAGTTAAATTTATATATATATCAAATACTTTACGCTAAAATCAACATATATGAAGCTACATATATGCTTAATGATATTGTTTTAAACTAAATACATAATAATATGCAAATATGAACGTAACATAAAGCACAATACTTCATGGAATTTAAAAATTCCACCAGTGACAAACAATTTAATAGTGTTTTACTACTAAAACTATTATTCCCTAAGAACAATTTGTATGATGGTTAAAGAAATTCAAAACAGGAAGTTATTAAACACTTTCTCTTAATGAAATGATTTTAGGATACTAAAAACATAAAGGTGAAAAATATATTTAATAACTGATGAAACTAAAACTATACATCTTAAACCTTTTAATGCATCTCAAATTAGGAATAGGCATATACTGAAAAGCAACCTTGAAAGACAATTTTTATCCCAAACATATGCATAGGTAAGTCTTGATTTGCAAACTGATCTGAATTTATAAGTGAAGGAAACTGTTTTTTAAATGGTACAATTTGCAGAGCATTGGATTTACAACAACTAGGCTTTGGTAAAGATAACAATTTATAAATTCTCACAATGTGATAAAGAGAAAGATCTAAGCTCAGACTGCATCCTCTGAAATCCTTTACATTGTTATGATTGCTTCACTCATTTCTAAACAATTGGACTTTTTAAATAAATGAACCACTAAATAGATGACAACTAAAATAATTTTTTAAATCCTAAACGTACCATTTCTCAAGGGTAAAAGATTTACGTTACTAGAGGAAGAGCCAAATTCAAAGACTGTGAATAGCCCAAATATATTAGCACAAATAAGTTAAGGAACCTTTTTCACTCTTCTAAGAGCTTTAGAACATTATATTGTGGTCAGCTGCTACCATTTTAGGGCCAAACATATGGGGGGAAAATTGCTAACAAAATTTAAACCTGTGTTATCTTTGGAACTACCAGAACTACCATACTGGACATGTACACAAAAGGAGGACCTGTAGAAAGCCTGTTGAGGCAGTTCACTTACTATATAACTAAGTAAAATTTAACAAAGTTTAAAATAAATTTAACAAAAAGGGCCAAGGAGATCCTTTCCTTAAGCTAAAAATGTAGCTTGAACATCAAAATTTGAATTTGTTGCAATACTGGAAATCTTTTGGAATGGAACACACACAGATTTTTAGAAGACCTAGCTAACAGCCCTGTCTAGAAACTGAAGAAGTGGATGGATAAGTGTTAGTCTCAAAGGCCCTAAAGATGTGGGAACTGACCTGGATCAGTGGGTAGGGTAGAGGTGAAGTTATCTCATTAAAATAGATCACATCAAGAAAGTGTTTGGAGCAAAAGGTCTATTTTTAACATTTCTTATTCATCACAGAAATAAGGCATAAAACATGACAGAACATAGTAAGAAATAAGTCCTACTGGAAACGTTAAAAAGAAGACTCATTAGTATACCAGCCTAATTAACCAGTATTGTCTGATTGCTGTAAATTATAAAAGTAATTTTATATATATTCTATCATGAAAATTCCTTTTCTGAATTGAATTAGTGCAATACTGAGGGACATTTTTCTGCAAACGTCCCCCTCAGAAATACACACAAACTTACTATTAAATTAAAATGCAATAAAGTCTATCTAAAAAGGATTGTATTGGGATGCTCTACTGCATATTTTAAGATACCCAACATGTTCCAACTTACCCTATGTAATGCGTAAGGGTGGTGAGACACGCCTCTTACTATAGGTAACAGGCTTGCCCTCCAGTCAAATAATTTTGAGTCTGTTCTTAAGGTGAGTAATGGCAATAAGAACTACAAGCTTGAGTTGTACTAAGTTTGAAACTTTCTGGAGCATATTTTATTTTCAAGTTTTAAAGTCTGATTAAAACTTAATAATATGCAGACAAGCTATAGTTTTAAAAAACCTATCCTTTTAAATAGTATTCTAAGGCAAATTTAAGAAGTATTATGGTTCTAAAAATATTAACTCATCCTTGTAAATAGTCTCTGAAAAGTAAAAATTAATGCCAGTTGAGAAGGTAACTAGTTATCTCCATAAGTATAGACTAGTTTATGCAAAAATAAGGAAAAACCAGAATCCACTAAAATGATAGTCTATATTTAAAAGGTAGATTAAGATCTGCTTGTTATTACTACAAACTTGATGTTGTAGACTTATGTAGAACTATGGACTTAAAACTGCAACAAGAATGTTCAGACATAAATCACACTATAAATAAGAATTTAAATTGATATAAGAATATTGGATTCTACAAATTAGTTATAATTATTAGTAGTACTAATGCAATTTCAATTCCATGACTGACTAATGATTATTCTTTTTATCACAAGCATGTGAAATTTTTCTAGACTAATTGTATTTTTTAACACTATCAGCAAGGTTAAGGCATTTTTCATTATATTGTAATCAGTACACACTAATTATTATGTTCTGATTATGCTTTGAATCTTGCCCCATTCAATATTTAGATCACCTTGTCTAGTCTCTAATGGTGCTGTCCATCAGAACTTTCTAAGATGGAAATGTTCTGTATCTTCAATGTCCAATATGAAACATGTGACTACTGAGCACTTCACATGTGGGTAGTATAATTGAGGAACTCAATTTCTAATTTGATTTAATTATTCAAATAGCCAGATATGGTAGTCATCACTAGTGGCTACCACAGAAAACAACACAGCTTAGAGTGTTCAAAAGGTAACACACCAAAAGTCATGTTATATAAAGTCTAGCTCTAGTCTGTTCATTTCCATGAGCATAATATTCACAAATGCTTACAAGACCGGTATGCCAAAAAACCTATTGTCCTGTGGTTTTCATCTTCATTCAAAAATATGATTAAATCTATGCCAGTAAACATTTTATACAACATTCAGAAAATTTCAAACAAAAACTATAACATAAAAAGATTTTTATTAGTGTTTATAGTATGTCAGCACAACTATACTGATTAATGAGCCTAGTGGCCTGTGTCAATCTGTCTAATGTTGGTTCTAGAATGACTAGAATTCAAACTATGAAATAGCCGCTGCTAAAAAGTTTTTACCCATTACCTATCATAACACAAGAATACCAATTACTACATAGTTTTCAGCTCCAATGACTAAACACTGCAAAAGCTTGTCAAGCTATTTTACCTGACAGACATATTTGTTCTTCCATTTGCTCAGCACACACTGACTGTTTTGCATCAGCTCCTGAAGTACAACAGAAAAAGAGAGAGTGCAGTTGACTATACACATTGTCATTACCAGTACAAGTGCCTCTGATTTGCAAGCAAAAAAAGATCAACATGCCACACAAAGATGCAACTGTTTTGGAACTCGTCACTGGACAAAAGCAGAGCTATCATCACCATGAGAGTTGATCCTTTATGAAAATTAAAGTTGTTGAAAGATGTTTTAAAACAGATTTGTTTGTTGCCATTTTTGAAACTTTTTGAATGATACCTCCAATTCTTTGAGTGAATCTCGGAGTTTTTCTGGGCGTCTGTTTTTGAGCGTCCAAGGATAATCTCGTGCTGGCAAATAAAACATGTACTACAGTTAGTTAAACAAGATTTTAAAAGAAACTCTGTTTAGCAGTGTGCCTTATGAAGATTAAAATAAAACACCTCCAAAATTGAGAGGAAGTGGGCTTCATTTCTATCATCAAATGACAGCCTTTTGAAAGGCTTTGTCATAGGAACAGGATTTTTACCACAAAACAATCTCCCTAATCATAATTTCATGATGACAACCAACAAGACAGAGAATCCCTGGGGTCGTTTGATATGCTTGTGAATCTAGTACTTAATGGTAAATGACACAGTCTGTGCCATCAAAGTAACTTTTCCATGTAAATTATTAAATGTTCAATGCATAATAAATTACAAATTCTTCAAGTGGTCTACTCAGACCTAAAAATTCTCATGAGTAAATAAATATAGCAAGGAAAGAAATAAAATACAAAAATAATACACAGAGAATGAATTTAAAATTAAACATCAAAGCATCACATTTTAAAACTTAGGGAAGAAATCTGAGGGAAATCCACATTTTAACCAAAATGCACTAAGTGTGCTTTTTAATGTAAAACAGTCCTCTCTTAAAATCTACATCACAACTCAATATTGATAAACCTTTGTTTTATTTTAAAATATATTTAAGTGAAAGATAAAATTATTTAGTAAAGTCACAATGTTAGTATAAAAATAAACAAAATAACTGTTTAAAAGAATTTTTTAAATGTTAAACTCATATCTATTTTATCAGAAAAATGAATTAATCTTTGGAGTCTCCTAATTAATAATTCTAAATAAGAGCTGTATGTATGTGTGTGTGTTGTGAGTATATATAAAATATAGTACATATATTTAAATTTGAGAGTAGGATTACTATACAGCTTATTTCAGCCAGTTAATTTGGTTCTATAAACAAAATTTGGATGTGTAGACCATATGTGTAAATTTTTAAATCTGTGTTGCAGCTACTAATACAGTCTTTTTAAAAATTAAATGTCAGTTCAACCATTTAAGAAAAGCGAACAAGTGGGATTTTCAGCTCCTGTTCCAGTCCAAATAAAATCTTAATGTATAACTTTAAGTCAGTAAAATCATATTACATTATAGCCATATTATATAACATATTTGAGACCAGAAAAGACTAGAGTTAATAAGATACTAACCTAACAAATCTTATTTCCTTAAAATGAGTAAAGCATGCTAAAACATGCCAATTTAGGCAAAGTATGAATAGTTAAATGTTACCATCAGAATTTAAGCCTGGTACACTTATTTTAAATATATTAAATAATATATAGTTCATTAACAAAGTTTGTGTTTATATAAGCATTATCTTAACAAAATTGGATAGAGTAGAGATTTCAATGGTCTAAATTAGAAAGGCCTAACAAATATAATTATTACTCAAATGTTTATGTACCTAAACAATAGGAATTTGAACTTCTAAGAAATGTGGAGGGAATAACATTTCCTATTTGTGTCGAATGAATATTTTACAATACTAAACTTTCCAGTTTTATAATTCCAAAAAATATAAAGTAAGCTTACATTCTGCTAGCTTCTGCTTTTCTTCTAAGTTACCATGCTCTGTCAATGATATTGTGGCAGGAGTTAGAAAGAAGAAAAAAAGAGTGAAGTTTATTTTTATTATAATACCTTGTATTTTTAATATGTACATAAATATTATTATGCACCTGAGATTAATAAATTATGCTAAATTTTAAAAAGCACAGTTGAAAAAATGTTATACTTTGGATATTTTAATAGAGATACTTCCTAAATTTGCAGTGAAAAGGCACAACAGGTGGGTCAATATCCTGAGCTTCCAATCTCATCAGATAGGGAAAGAAACTGCAACAGAGCCCAAAACAGAAGCTGCTTCAGTCTGTCATCAGAACCATGAAGTCAGCCTATTAACCAGCAAGCTAAGCACACAGAATATCCACACAAGCCCACTTCAACAGAGACCAAAACAGGAAGTAACTCTAGCTAGAAAGACCTTTTGGCCCATCATAAAACTTCTAGGATTAACAGGATTAATCAGATAAAGAAAATTGATCATTCACTCAGAAATGCCTATTTCAGATATCAGGTGAGGATCCAGGAGGCCAGTATCAATGGGACCCATGCATTAACAATGCCCTCTACTGGGACACCGATAAATACACGCGCATACACTGTCCTGTTTGTTATCAGCCTGATCAGCAGTAAAATGAAAATTATCATGTTCTTCTACAGCATTTATTCAAGATGACTTTATTTTATATAGAACAGATAGATATCAACCTCAGCATTTTTCTAAAGCACTAAAATGACTTTTCTTAAAATTCTAGAATGTATCTAAAGCTCATAAAAAAACAAGAGTTTTTAATGGTCAGTGTTTCACAGTTTAGAATATTTAGTTTATAAAAATAGTTGAGTAGAACAGGTACTTTACCTGGTGGATCTTTCTTGTCATAATATTGGTAGATTCCAATGTCTCTATCTATAGAAAGGAAGAAATAACACTAAATTATGATAAAAAGTCCCAAAGAATAAGAAGCCAAGCCATACTATATTGGGGAAAGGATAGGGAGGAGAGCAGAAACAGTCTCCTTATGTTACTAGAAATAAAATGGCTCAAAAGCATCAGGAGATGGATTTGTCTATCCTAGGGATATGCAGGAACTGGAAAGCTTATCAATCTAATAAGAAAAGATTTACACAAAACTAGAATGGCATGAGAAAAAGATTAGTAAAGAACGCAAATCAAGGAAGACCAAGTTTTCTCTTTCACACTTCCTCTGATATTTTTCACAGGGTGCTACCAAAAGGAATTGCCACTAAGTAATGCCAAATGAAATCAGTGGATGGAAGAAAATGCCCTAACTGTTGGATTCCGAGCTGTGGCTTTCTTTTCTCCAATTTAGCTCAAGAGTAGAGTTCCTATCCTACAGCGTTTGGGGGAAATCTGCAGGAAAGAAAGGGAGGATTAGAGGAAGGTATGGATAGATTATTATCTGAAACTTGTTTAGATTCAAAAAATTTTTCAAAGTCATTCAAATTCAGATGCTCTGCTGGGACTACCTAAGAAGCAAAGCTAGGCTTCCCAGATGTTGAGATTCATTTAACCAAGGAATCTCTTGTGCAATTTTAATATAGGAGAACAAAATAATTTTGTATACGTTCTTTATATCTATGAATAATGAAATATTTCTCTTATCGGAACATTTGCTTTATTCCATGCAAAATAATTCTCAATTACTAACATAAGGTGTATACAACTGTTTCTAAGGAAGTGAAAGCAGTACAGGCTGCCCCCTAGTGACTGACTGCTCCAAACTTTCTCAAACTGAATGATAAAACTTCAAAAAATATATTATTGCTATAATTAACTTTTCAAATATAGTTTTCCAAAAGAATCAATTACGTGTGCTTATTGAAGTTCTATTTTATTCATCATGCCTTTAGTTGAGATAATTTTAAAGAATGTAGTTTATGACTAAAAGTTTTATCAAAAATATCTCATAAGGATAGATAGGGAAAAATCATGACTAGGACTTCCTGCTGATAATATTTTATTTCTTAACCTGAGTGGTGATTTTATATGTGTTCACTTTTTGGTAGTTTACAACACGCTCATGATCTGTACACTTTTCAGTACAAAAGTTATACTTCAAGAAATTTTGTTTTTAATCTAAGAACCATAGGCACTGTGTAAGCAGGCAATACCGCCTATTAAAATACTACATCCTATAATTATGCCCATCGTTTCATACACCCAAATATGTACAACTGTAGAAATATGAATATCATAAAGGATCCGAAGTTATAGGCACAGGTCTGACCTCCTGCATCTGGTCCAAGCAAGATAAAGAGGGCATCCACTTAAGGAGGGCTGCCCTACAAGAGATGCCAGAGTAGGATGAGGAAAATGTCCATGCAGGGGGCCAGCCTGAGATGGTGTGTTAGAACCCTAGCAGGATAATGACATTTATAGGGGCAATGGCCTAATGTAGGGTATTAGAAACTGAACAAGGTGACGAGGACATTCACATACAGGAGCAGCTCAATATATCAAAACCCCCACGGAGTGAGAGGATATTCACACAGGGGAGGGACTGGCCACAGAGGTTAAGAGATTGACTGCATATCGTTAGGGAGTGACTAAGCAAATAAACTTTAAAAATAGTGGAACCCCAGATTTCCCACAGTCTAAGAAGAAAAGTACAAATATGGAAAAAGGGAATATTAGAATGTACCCTGTGGTGGTAGATAGGAACTGGAAGTACCATTGTGAACTAATGGTTTCAATATATAGAGATATAAGGGGGAATCCCCAAAACCCCAGAATTTATTTATTAAAAAATTGTATTTATTATTACATGTTTCAACTTCAGTCACCTTTAAAGTATACTCCCCATCTGATGTAATACACCTACCAAGACGCTTTTCCCACTGCTCACAACAGTTTTTGAACTCATCAATTTTGATGCTTTTTAGTGCTTCTGTTGTTTTTTGTTTCACCTCTTCCACACTGGCGAAACATTTCCCTTTAAAAACTTTTTTGTTCAGGAAACAAAAAAACCATTGCTTGGGGTGCAATCAGGTGAATAGAGGGGTGGGAAATGGGGGCTATGCAACTGTTGGTCAAAAACTGCAGAACACTCAGCATGGTGTGGACAGGTGCACTGTCATGGTGGAAGAATCGGTCACCTGTTTGCTACAACTGAATCTAATAATGGGGAAACTTCAGATACAACTAAATTTAGGAACATCCTACATAATAGCTGGCCTAAAATCTTCAAAAGTGCTAAGGTTATGAAAGTTTTAAAATAAAAAGGATGAAAGATCTGACCAAGAATGAAGGAGACTAAAGAGACATAGAAACTAAATACAATGTGTGGTAGTGAACAAAATCCCTTTGCTAAAAAAGGACATTGGTGGGACAATCAGTGATCGGTCAGTTTAGATGAAAGGCTAGGCACAGTTGCTCACACCTGTAATCCCGGCACTTTGGGAGGCAGAGGCAGGAAGATTGTCTGACCTCAGGAGTTCCAGACACACCTAGGCAACATAGGGAGACTTCATCTCTACAAAAAGATAAAAAAATTAGTTTGGCGTGGTGGTTAGCTGTAGTCTCAGCTACCTGAGAGACTGAGGCAGAAGGATCACCCAAGCCCAGGAGGTCAAGGCTGTGGTAAGCCATGATCATGCCACTGCATTACAAACTGGGCAACAGAGTGAGCCTCCAACTCCAAAAAAAAAATTAGATTGAAGTACATCCATATTAATTTCCTGATTTTAATGGCCATATAGTGGTAACAAAAGACAAAATCATTTTTATAGGAAATACACACAAATGTATTTGAGGGTGATAAAGCATTAGGTTACAACTTACTCTCAAATAGTTCAAGGAAAAAACTACCTGCACTGACAGTTTTTCTGTAAGTTTGTGATTATTTTAAAAATTTTAAAAATACTTTAAATGTCAAGCATAATAAGAGCACATTAACAGGTCTACTAACTTAGCCTAGAAAGCAGAGAAGGCTTCTCTAAGTGACTTACTAAAGCTGAACCCAAAAGAAATAGGAGAGAAGATGAGGGGTAAAAGGGAATCAAGATAGGTCAAATTTACAACCATGAGGTCCAAGTGGGGTAGGAGGATAAGTGACGAGGGGTCCAATAGACTAGGAGAATATCAAAGGATTGAAAGATTGTCAGTCTCAAAGAAGCATAAAGTCTAAAAAATAAGAATAATGGAATGAGATTTTAAAAATAGCCAATTATGATTAGAGAAGAAAATACTTAAAGATTCCCATAAGCAGTGACATAAACTCACTTTTGCTCTCCTATTTCCTGATAAAATTTCATTTATATTTTTGTTTTAAATTTTTTTCTGCAACATAAAATATATATAATATATATATATATATTTTTTTTTTTTTAGTAGGAGTCTCTGTCACACAGGCTGGAGGGCAGTGGCACACTCCCAGCCACCGCAGCCTCGACCTGCTGGGCTCAGGTAATCCTTCTGCCTCAGCCTTCCAAGTAGCAGGAACTATAGGCACACACCACCACGCCCAGCTAATTTTTTTATTATTGTAGAGATGGGGTCTCACCAAGTTGCCCAGGCTGGTCTCGAACCCGTGGGCTCAGACAATCCTCTCACCTCGGCCTCCCAAAGTGCTGGGATTGTAGGCACGAGCCACCGTGCCCAGCCTATGTATTTTTAATTTACAAAAGATCTGTATAATTTCAAATATTTTCTAAAGCTTCCGTATTTTGTTTCTTGCTTCATGGATTCAGTAACGTTCCTTAGGTCTCTTTTGCACTTTTTTCCCCTTCCTACGTGATCTCTGTTTCTTCAGAGATTTTTTTTGACCTGTTTGTTTTGTTTTCTATTCCATTGAAGACTTTCTTCAAATAACTGGTGATCCTTAGCCCTCTGTTCATGTTTACAAGTGAGGCACTAAAAAGCTGATGGAAAGTCCTGCATGTATAAATAGGACTTGCCAACTGAGGGGTTCACTGATCAAGACAGGAACCAGGTATTTCCTTCTGGGGCCATGCAGTCATTGCAGAAAGGAATCTCTCAAACTCTTCCTTTCTTGGAAAGTATACAAATGAAAATAACATTCTCAGAACCAAATGGGATTGAAAAAACTCTGCCATGGCAGGGCTGGGTTGCTCAGCCTGTAATCCCAGCGCTTTGGGAGGCTGAGGTGAGTGGATTGCCTGAGCCCGAGGGTTCGAGACCCACCCGGGCAACTTGGCGAGACCTCATCTCTACAACAAATCAGCTGGGCGTGGTAGCTCGCGCCTGTAGTTCCAGCTACTTAGAAGACTGAGGCGGAAGGATCTCGCAGCCCAGCAGGTCGAGGCTGCGGTGGTCGGGAGCGTGCCACTGTACTCCAGCCTGGGCAACGGAGTGAGACTCCAACTCAAAAAGAAAAAAAGAAAGAAGGAACTCAGCCTTCAGTATGTGTACATATTCATGTATGTATATGTGTAGACTTTCACTTCATCACTGTTTTCATTTCAGCAGGTGTTCTTTCACTGGCTCTGGTGTCTTCAAGTTTAGAGTCACCCTAATTAAATATGTCCACAGCATGAGAGGTGCTCACAACTTCTTATGCAAAATTACATGTCCCTTTGTTGTCACTCACTCTCATGCCACATCCCCATCTTCTGTAATACCAACCTCCTGAAATTTCTGTACCTTTCCAGAGTTTTGAGACATAAATTAGCTGATACTGGAATTCTCCCCATAGGCAACTAATTTTTCAGCTCTGTTAATTGTTCCATCCCTTCCATTTCCCAAAAATTGTCCAATTAAAGTTGTACCCTCTCCTTTCTCTTAGTCCTTAGGAGTTTATGCCTTCTTTAATTCATTTACTCTCATTTTAGAAGAGTTTTAGGAAGAGGCAAAAAATGTGTATTAAATCTTTGTTTAACTGAAAGTTCGAACATTACACATTTTAAAGAAGATAAACTTGAAGAAAACATGACATTCATCTGTAATTATATATTTGATATAATGAAATAATATTTTGCAAAGTAAACTATTTTCTTAGTAATGATGTTGAAGGGATATAATTAATAGTATCCTCCTCAATACAAGAATTGCTTTGGATAATTAAAGAAGAAAAAAATTTCAAGATACTTCCTAATAAAATATACTTTATCCTATAATATTATAAGCATTGTTAAAACACACATATATTACTTACCCGAAGAACTATGAAATGCAAAGAACATGAAAATAACTGTACACCTTAACTTTATGTCTGAAGTGTTATTTTAACATCAAACGTTTTTATGACTAGCTAGTCTGCAAATAAAATATAATCTATTTTTGTGAATCATTCTCCCAAAAACTGAACATGTGCATATCTTAAGCAGAAATAAATATTAAGACAAAAAATTAATTTTCAAAACTGAAAATCTAAATCAAGCTGAAAAAAATAACAAGAGTAATTAAAAGAAATTATTTTCCATTAGCCAATTTTACATAAGAATTTTAAAAAAGAATGCAACTCCAGCTGGAGAACCCAGGCTCTAACCTTTGCTAGTACTTATTTATAATGGTGTAACATATTTGAAAAACACTGAAATTAATCCAGAGCTCATTTACCCCCAATGTGTAAGGTATTCTTCAAAGACCACAGGTGCAGTTCAGTCAAGCAGAAAGACATCTGATGGCAGAAGGAATCGCTGTCCTGTTTAAAAAATAATTAAAAAGAGGTGTCAATTAATTATCTTCTATTGCCAATAAAACCAAGATCTCTTGGAAATAGTAAAAAGAATCATTTGCCACAACTGATATTTGAGATATGGTCCATTAGAATAAACACACTCTAATGTATCCTTGGTTAACCATCCAGAAATAAACTCTAGAAAGAGGAAAAATACACTTCTTTTCCTGGATTTAGTATGTCATCACATTGAGAAATGTGGTAAGAAGAATATATATAGTATTTAGGTTTTCAATAGCATATGTTTAGTTAAGGCTCTGAGTATATTTAGAATTATTTAGTATTTAAGCATTTTTTTAAAGTTTTATTTTTAAGGAAAGGAAACGTCTGTTAGGTAGTTATTAAGTACAAGTATATTTTGTGGTGCATTTTTAATATGTAAAACAAATATTTACAATCTCCCACATACAAATAAATTAATTAAAGTGGAATTTGCAAGGTAAATGGTATATAGTTACTATTATAAGAAAAACAATTACTTAAAAGTAAACTGTGTGAAACCGCATTAGCATTCAGATTAGTTTGTTAATCTGGATGTCATGATGAATCCAGAAAGTCTATTCTAACTGCATTTTTTAAAAAAAACCAGGATAGTACAAATATACAGCCTATATTTCCTCCCATTTTAATGAGAAGACATTATTAATGCTTTTTTAAAAATAAAGTAGAACCTCATCAATTTGGACTGATTGGGAGAAAGCTAGTTTGCATCAAGAAAAAAGGGCATTATTTTATAAATATTTGAAAGGAATTTATATAATGTTCTTTTTTTTTTTTTTAATTGGAGTCTTACTCTGTCGCCCAGGCTGGAGTGCAGTGGCATGTGCTCACCGCCACCCCAGCACTGTCTTGCTGGGCTCCTGTGATCCTGCCGTTTCAGCCTTCCAAGTAGCCAGAACTACAGGCACGTGCTACCATGCTCGGATAATTTTTTATTTATTGTAGAGGTGAGGTCTGGCCAAGTTGCCCGGGCCAGTCTTGAACCAGAAGGCTCAGGCAATCTACTCGCCTTGGCTTCCCAAAGTGCTGGGATTACAGGCTGAGCCACCAAGTCCAGCCAATATAACTTTCAAGTGTTTGCTTGAAAATACATATAGTAGTACTATGCCATAGGTATTTTATACTATATATTAGAAATACATACAGTAATTTAAACTATGGTCATTTTCTTTATAGAAATCATAAAGGAAATGCTCTTTCCAATAAACTTCTGAATAACAAAAAAAAGTTTGAAAAATATTTTAAGACATCTATTAGTGGGGGAAAAAAGTCCTCAGCTTTTTTAACATTACAAGTGACTAAAAATATTTCCATACTATCCATATGGGTGTTAACCCAAAATTTTAGACATAGTGAAACTTTCTTGGCTCTTCTTTCACCTTTACATTTGACCTCAATGCATTCACCATCATCAAGAAACAGATGCATGTTCAACTAACGAGATATGCTGTGCTAATAATTGAAATGGCAGAGTGAAAAATGTGGTATTACAGAAGAGGAGCCTAATCCTGCCTGAACAGCTGGGCTGTGAGAAAGCTACAGAGAAATTGTAAAATATTAGTGAGTCCTCAAAGAAGTAAAGGATTTCACTAGTTAGAAGAAGAAGAAGATGACAGATAACACTTACTAAACCCTTATTTGTTCTAAACATTTTATATATATTAACACATTTAACCTTCATAGCTACTCTTTGAGGTAGTACCATCATTACTTCTATAATGAAAAAACTAAGACACACAGGGTCACATAGCCAGCAAGTGGTGAATACAGGCTTTGAATCTATATAGACTAGCTCTAGAATCTGTTCTTGCAATCATAGTGCTCTACTGTAATGGAGAAGACAAAAGGATGGGAAGGAATGTACACAGTTGTTTGAGAAGAAAGACAAGTCCCAAGAATGGCAGTATATTGATGTGGTTGATAGTGATACAAATATAAAGGTAAAAAAGAAAAGAAGGAAACAGGTTATAATAATAATAGTTAATTTGGGTTGTTCTGAATGTATTCTCTTCCTTGCATCAAAATCCTTTAAAGGGTAAGACAGAAAACAAAGGACCCTTGACCTCCAGATCTGCCCTGCTGTTCCTAGATGCTGGCTGCCACTGTATAAAGGTATGGAGTAGCAGAGCTAGTGGACTGCATTACTCAGAGAGAAGATGCAGTTCATTAACAGCAAGCAATAGAGAAAAAGAGATATTACACTAGCTACTAATTTTTCAATTCATCTGAGTATTATCTTTCAGAGTTGTCATCCTGGAAATGATTCTAGTGAGCCTAGCATTACACAAAATGTTTCCAAGTCAGAGTTATTTGGAATTGATTTCATTTAGTTTTATCAGGCTTATTTTGGAATAGTCACTTAAAAAAATAACTAAAATACTTACTGTATTAGAATAAGTAAACTGCAGCATTCTCGTGTGGAAGAAGTGTGGAATGTTTGTTTAAAAAAAAAAATCAATCCTGAATTGTACCCCACATCTTCAAAATAAAATTTTAAAAATAATAAATAGTAATTATTGATTATATTAACAAAATAATCAGTTGATGAATTAAATAAATTCTTATATCTATTTAGTTTAATGTGTGGCTTCTAGAATAAGACTGCCTATTTTCTTATTCTGGTTTCTCAGTTTACTAGTTAACTTGGACAAATTACCTAACTCCTCTATTTCTTTTTTATTTTTAAAATGTAGGGTACAATTCAGGATTAGGTATACAAATGGTCATTGTACAAGTAAAGTTTGGGCCTCATTTTGGTCCCCACTTCAACTGGTTTGACAGCAGGTACTCTTTTTGATAAAGTATGTCCCTCCCAACCCTCCCCTGGCCATTTCCTACTACTGCCAATCCCTTTCTTGTAGTATTATGATCATTGTTCTGGGCCCTCTTATGAGTGAGACTCTGTGGTACTCAGTTCTTTGTTTCTGTGATAGATCACTGAGTATTATAGACTGTAAATCCATATTTCTAACATTCTTCCAGCTATAAAATGGGTATAATAAAAGACTGTTTTCAGGATATATTTACTCAATTATCTTAGCATTACAGTTACTGCTATTACTCAATGTCTACCACTATGCAAACTTATATGGAAAAAACAAAAGAAGTAATAAATATGACCTCTGACCTTATATGGTAATTTCACACTGTGAAATGAATGAATGAATAAGTACTAAGTACAATAGGTGGTTTATGAAGGAAAAACAACACGTGGAGAAGTTTCTATACAAACTGGTAACTGAATTAGAACATGCGGATGGGTTAATATTTCATTGCAAATAAGAAATAAAGGATGTGATAAAATATGTTCAGAATTCTTCTGATACTGAGCATCAAAAGTAACCAACTTCTAGACTATAGTAGAAAATTAAAAAATCACATTCCTCAATTTAGCATTCAGATACCAATAACTGTAATTAATGATAATCTGCACAAAGAAGGGGATAAAGTTAAACTGTTGGTAGCTATATAAAAAGATTTATTCATGTAAATTAAATATAGATAAAAGTTTACAGATGAACCCAAAGGCTGCTTTACTTACATATCAAAAGAGGACAACACTTAAATTCTATTTTTCAGCTTAAGTTAATCCAATAATAATTTGTCAAAACTTTTACCTGACAACAAAAATGGAGAGTAGAGTGTAGGTTTCATTATAATCCACATTAGCTATTTCTAAAAGACAGAAAAATGTCTTTAACTTGAAAAACTTGGTCCACTCCCCATATCTTTACTAAGTTTGAAAGTCCTAAGCTAAATTAGAAATTAGGGTGTTTGAGGGAGAATACACAAAATGAGTTCTGTGGAGAGCTTCAAATGCCAAAAGTAAAACCGTTAATCCTCTGCATTTGGACACAGGGGGAATTCTGAGAATAGCACACTACAGACTCTGACCTGGACTTGTCTTCAAGCTCAGCACTCAAGGATTCATATCTAGTTCCAATAGGGTAGGAGGACTGAGAAAAATGTACAAGACATTTCTCAAAATGCTCTGATGTACAAACAACACTGCTCTAGTTTCCCATTAAAAAGCAAAGGACAAAAAGGGGAGAGAGAGATTATCCTTCTACTTTACAAAAGATTCTTTTTTGGCCCCACAGGAAACATATGGTACAAGAATGTATATGCGGCCACAGGGGTGATGCCCAGCAAAATGTAGGCAGCACTGGTAGCCCATCGGATTAATATGCTCAGTGAAAGTGGTGGTGTCCAGACAAAACAGGATTTACACCCAGCAAAAGCAGACATAGTGGCCAAGGAGTGGTCTGCATTACCCAGAAAAGCAACAGCAACAATAGTTGATGGAGCAGATCTAGCAAATAGCGAGTGAGGCATATGACAAGAAAACGGACAACGTCCGTTGGTAAATGACTGGCTTTATTTAGGAACCCATATCACAACTCCTGCCAACTCCCCAAAACATGTGAGATTAAAGAGGGAGCTTTGCAAATGGTCATGAATTTGCAGGGGAACAAAAGATAGTCAAATATGGGTTGATTTTTTCTAAATTTCAAATATCTGCCAGGAAGATCACATAAAACTAAAAAGAGTTAATGGAGTAAATAAAACAAATTTGTAAAATTGTATAATAATAACTACATGGGCAGGGTAGAAGGAACCAAATCAATATCCTTTTTAGTCCTCAAGCTTTATTCACTGTGCAGGTTTAAAAAAAAAAAACATGCAGTTTTGTGGGTTTTTTAAAACATCTTTAGATGTCTTGAACCATACTCAAGTGTGCCACCAGTTAAAAAGAATGCTGGTTAATTTCCTGGTTTGAAAAATCTGCCTGGAGGAAGTAGTCAAGACTAAGCTTGTATTATTCAAATATTGTATTAGTGCATAAATAGGTGTTTTGAAGAAGGGAAGAAAAGAATTTCAGAAGAATGCTGGGCTTTGCATTTTCGGAAGGGGCTGTGGGCAGGGATTTAAAAAGGTACTGAAATTGTTTGGGAGCACCAGCCAAAGTAAGCTGAGAAATGCTGCCCCACTCAGTGCTCTTGTGCATTTCTCTAGGTGATAAAACCCAATGCACATGACATAGAACTAGAACTGTATAGAGGGAAATGAATGAAAGAACAAATGAATAAAAAATATAGCAAATTGTTCTACTACTGAATATTGAATAGAAAAAAGAATTATCCAAACAAAAAGAATTATCCAAATGAAAAACCTAGACATATATTCACCCAGAAGTAATTTTTCATTTATCTTTAAAAACCTTTTTTAATTTTCTTTTTTTTTTTTAGTTATATAAGGTAGCTGATTACAGTCTCAGATGTCTCATATGGCCTTCTGAATCCAAATTTCAGTCTCCATGAAAGAATAAACAGCATGATTTTAATTGAACTTGACATAAATTTAGGATAGGGGAAAATCTATAATTGCCCAAATTTTAAGAACAGAGAGGTGTGTGACTCTATTCACTCTCTACTTACATCCTCAAAAAGTTTCAATATTGAAAGTCTTCCCTCCAGTGAGGGTTACAGTAGAGTAAATGAATATCTGTTTACCTTAAGAATAAGTGTTACCATATTGACTAAATTTTTAGAAAGTAACATGCAAAATAGAAATAGTTCCACTACTATACTGTTGATAATCTTCTTTAGAAAAATAAAAACTGGCCGGGCTCGGTGGCTCAGCCTATAATCCCAGCACTTTGGGAGGCCCAGATGAGTGAATTGCCTGAGCCCACCGGTTCGAGACCCATCCAGGCAATTTGGCGAGACCTCATCTCTACAATAAATAAAAAATTAGCTGGGCATGGTAGCACACGCCTGTAGTTCCGGCTACTTGAAAGGCTGAGACGGAAGGATCGCCGGAGCCCAGCAGGTAGAGGCTGCGGTGGCCGGGAGCGTGTCACTGCACTCCAGTCTGGTCGACAGAGTGAGACTCCAACTTAAAAAAAAGAAAAAAAAGAAAAAGAAAAACTATGTTTTAGAAGTAGAGATTATAAATAAATCTGCAAAATACTTGTCTTCTGCCAGGGTAGTTAAGTGCGCAGTTCTTGGTTGTGAGGTCAGCTACTTGAGCTGTTGTGGGAAGGACAGGAAGCTCAAAGGCAAATAAAACCCTACTGTAAAACATGATAGTGAAGAAAGAATTAAGAAAAGAAGACAGTGTTATAGCTATAACAAAGATAGATGATATCATGGCATCAACAAGAGATTTAAAATGGACGAGTACTGGCAAAAGTCTGCAAAGAGCCTATGGTTATCTTTCTTGGACAAAAATTTCAAACATATACTTACTATTTATTACCATTAAATTTTCTAAGTAGTATCTGTTCATTAATTAAGATTTATAAAAATAAAGACAACTAAATAGCACGAACGTAAGATAAACAACTATTAAATGGTATTAGCTATTCCTAGTCATTATTAGATAATTTGAAAAAAAATCCACCAAAATTCCATATATTGCCTCTCAATCTCTTGATCAATATCATCATAGTATTATATTAATACCTGTTAAGCAAATTCATAAACATTTAATCAAACGCATGCTTCCAAAAAAAAAGATTTTAAAAAATATTTAACACTAAAGCAAACAACTAAGTAATGATAAAATTCATGTGAAAGTTTCAAAATAAGGAGACTTCAAGCTTGGACTGAAGCTATTATACCAAAAGATTGGAGTACTAGGAACACTGGCTCATTTGTACTTCACAGAAACCTATGATATCTAAATAGCAATTAAATATCACAAACACTTTGCATGAGTATGACATTTTACCATGAGTCACAGATACAAAGATTTATAAAACAGGGTCTCTGCTACCAAATAGCATATAATCCAGTGTAGTAGATAAAAATAAACCACAAAAACAAAATGAAGTTTGTGTTGAGTGCTAATTTAGTAACATAAACAAAAGGCTAATGGGGTTCAGTAGTGTTGTAGTATGATTAAAAAAATAATCTTATAAAGTAGAGGGCATTTGAGGACTGTTAGATTTTGCTAGAGACAGACAGATTTAAAAGGAGGGAACAATACACAAAATCACAAATTAGACAGAAAGATGCAAGGTTTATTTGAGAACTAATAAGCAACCTTGTTTGGTACACAAGTAGAAGAGACATGTCAGGGTCATACTAAGGGTATTTGGATGTCAAACTTAGGAATTAAGTCTATTTATTTGCTAGATAGCTACTGAGGAATAATGAAAAAAGATATTTTTAGAAAGAGCAATCAACAGAGTAGAATTGTTGTTGACCTATTAAAAAGGTAATTAAAGTAAGAGATAACACTAATATTCAGTAACAAGAATTGAATTGAGATATTGGCAGTCGGAATGTAAGAGATGTAAATGATCTTTTGAAGAAGGAATAAACAACAGCATATGAGCACTGATGAATTGTGGAAATAAGGGTGAAGAAAGAATCTGAACTGACCAACAACAGGTGGGGGATCT